TATTGTTGTTGTTGTTGTTAAGTGTCGTCAAGTTGATTCCACCCCATAGCGACCCTGTATAGGGTTTCCGAGGAGCGGCTGCTGGAGTTGAACCACTGATCTTGTGGTTCATCCTAACCTTGCAGTCTAGCGCATTATCCTGCAGCGCCACATAAGCATCTGAAGCTATTGGAAATACCATAGCTTGGGTCAAGTGCACCTTTGTCTTCAAACTGATCTACTTGCTCTTTAACAGTTTAGAGGTCTTGTGCAGCAGATTTGCCTAATGTAATAAATCATTTGATTTCACGACTGCTGCTTCCGTGAGTGTTGATGGTGGATCCAAGCAAAATGAAGTCTTTGACAACTTCAGTCTTTTCCCCATCTATCATGATGTTATTTAATGGTTCAGTAATGAGAATTTTTGTTTTCTTTGATTGAGGTACAATCCATACTGAAGGCTGTAGTCTTTTATCTTCATAAAAGTATTTTAACTCTTTTTCACTTCTGTCAAGCAAGGTTGTATCGTCTGTATATCACAAGTTGTTAGTAAATCTTCCTCCAATCCTGATGACACATTCTTCTTCATATAATTCAGCTTCTCAGATTATTTGCTCAGCATACAGATTGAACAGTTATGGTGAAGGGCTACAACCCTGGTACACACCTTGCCTGATTGTTAACCATCCGGTATGCCCTTGTTCTGTTCTAACAACTGCTTCTTGATCTAAGTACAGGCTCATCATGTGCACAGTGAAGTGTTCAGGAATACCCATTCTTCACGATGTTATTCATTCCTTGTCATGACGCACACAGCCTTTGCATAGTCAGTAAACACAAGTATACATCTTTCTGGTATTCTCTGCTTTTAGCCAAGATCCATCTCCTGTCAGCAGTAATCTTCCTAGTTCTTCATCGTCTTCTGAATCCGGCTTGGGTTTCTGGCAGTCCTCTGTTGATGTTCTGTTGCAGCTGCTTTTAAATCAGCTTCAGGGAAATTTTGCTTGCATGTGATATTAATGATAGTTGTTGATTACTGCATTCTGTTGGGTTATCTCTCTTCGAAATTGACACTAATGTGAATCTCTCCCATCATCAGTTGGCCAGGAAGCTGTCTTCAAATTTCTTGACATAGATGAGTGATCATGTCTCCTGTGCTGCATCACTTTCTTGAAAGATTGTGGCTTGCATGTTGTTGCTGTTGTTAAGTGCCGTCGAGTCGGTTCTGACCCATAGCGACCCTTGCGTAGGGTATGCATAATTCCTCCAGCCTAGTGTGACAACATGTGCAAAGTATTGTGTACTGGAGAAGCTCACTAAAAACTCAAAACCTAAAATTTTCATTGGGGACTAAGACATCCTCTGTCTGGCACATCCCAGAATCCCAGATTTCTAGAAGGAAAGCAAATATTCTGTAATACCAGTATAGTTCGTACCAATAGTCTAGGCACAGCACGTCCCCTTTGTAATTTAAGGCCTTCCTAAGGACAGCGTGTCAGTTCTGCTGTGTTCTCTACACATACTAGTGTGAACCTGGGAAACTTCTGAAGGAATGAAAATGATTGTTCCTGTATAAAATTATTTAAACTCCCCCGGCTTGAGATTTGTCCAATTTAAAGCAGGTCTTCCCTAACTTTGTGTGTAGTGTGGGGGAGGTTTCAAGTTAGCCGTAGGATCCGTTTTAGTTGTCTTAAGTTTGAATTATTATCTCTAGTAGGCTTTTGATGATGTTTACAAATAAATTACAGAAAAGAAGTGTATTTCCGATAGAATCAGCTGCTTTTCTCTAGTTTCTCTAAGAAAGCAATGTGACAGGAAGCCAATAACTTCTCATCAAATTATTTTTCAAACTTCTGTTTTCTTTAAAATTTTAATGTAAATCAGTACTAACGTTAAAATTGATGAGTTCCCCATTTCTACTGAAAATATTCAGATACAAAGTTAGCCATCTCCTGATAATCAATGTGATTGGTTACTAAATCTGAATTTAATGTTGTATTTAGTTCTGTACTATCAGCTTCATTTTTTTTATTGCAAGAATTTTGTATTCTGTTATTAAATTACTAAGATTTTAATGTTTTTATGACTGTTCAAAGTGCAGACTAAATTGTATCTAAAACTGATGTGTACTTGATCCAGTTTACAAAACGGTGAAAGTACCAAAGTAAGTTTTTCCTAAGTGTGCCAAGAACTATTCCTAGCCGTGGTGATTAGGTATGACATAAAGCTTTCTGAAATTACTGCAGTGATTCTCAGATTGTGCTCTTGTCATTGTGAAACCCCATTGTGTCATGTTTTTGAAACTTGTATGACAAAACAAACCCTTTTATTCTTGCAGCTTTTCTTCATTAGTATTCTTCAAGGTATAATTTGGAAAATGTTACATTAAAACTTGATAAAGAGAAAAATTACATAGACATATGTCTGGGAGGAAGCTCCTCCTCACGTGTTGCAACAGTGCATTTACAAAATTATCTCAAGGGAGGAGAAGTAGTTGGCAAATAAACACACTACGTTTGTGTTATTTGCTTAAAAATACAGTTCTTGTTGTTAAGTATAGTCAAGTCCATTCCGACTTACAGCCGGCGACCCTGTATAAGATTTCTTATGAGTGGTTCTCAGTCAAACGTAATGTCTCTTACATGGTTGTATTGTTGTTGTTAAGTGCCATCAAGTTGGTTCTGACCCATAGAGGCCCTGTATAGTGTTTTCAAGGAGCAGCTTGTGGGTTTGAACCACCGACCTTGTTTTCTGAAGTCCAGCGCTGATCCCCCAGCCCCATACCAGGAGTCCTTACATGGTTATCAGAGGTAGAAAAGCGTGGTATGTGGTCCCTATTGCCAAGTACCGTACAGTGATATTGGGTTCCTCGGAGTGGAACACATGGAATGATCTGTGTGCTTAATTAGCTGGTATTGCAAATGCTGTCCAAATTCAGAGAAAGAACAGGATAAAGCAGATTGGAATAGTTCTCAGAAGGATAAGGGAATTCATAGAAAAAACAGGATAAAGTTGGTTGGAATAGTTCTCAGAAGGATAAGGGATCTTGAGCTGGTCTCAGTAAGCCGGGTGGGTGTGAGGATGGGAAGACTTTAGTGAGTTAGTTTCATTTCTGAAGCTTCACATACTCTCTCACGCTGCCTCAGGAGCGATGTATTTTGGCCGACCTTAGAAAGGAACAGAGAACGTGCCCAGAATTGGCATAGGTTACGGGGAAAGTTCTACTTTGTTTTATCTTTGTTGTTGTTAAGTTCTGTTGAGTCAGTTCTGACTCATAACCCTGAATACACTGTCCAGGGGCCACTGGTAGGTTTGAAGCACTGACCTTGCAGTTAGCAGTCAGTCCAGTGCTTATCCCACAGAGTCATTATGAAAGGTAAAATCACTTTGACTATAAAGTAGACTAGAAGGTGGAAATTCCCCGTATATTCTCTAGTCACTGTGGAGCTTGTTAAGTGCCATCGAGTCAGTTGTGACTCCGAGTGATCCCGTATAGGGTTTCTGAGGAGAGGCTGCTGGGTTTGACCCTCCAACCTTGAGGTTAGTCCACTTCTTGTCCTACAGCTCCACTCCAGGACTCCATGAAACTTAGACATGTTTTGTATTTTTGTTGTTTTTACTGTGCATTTCTTTACTATACAGTAGTATTGTTAAGTGCCGTCAAATCAGTTCTGACAAATAGGGACCCTGTGTAGGGTTTCCAGGGAGCCAGCTGGTGGGTTCGAACCACTGACCTTATAGTTCACAGTCTAGTGCTTAGGCAGACATCAAACTCAAGATATGTTTAATAGTTCAGTACCATGCCAGACTTTTGCTAGTATATGAAATGTTGAAGAAGTTATAGGAGTTCAGTTCCGTTGCTAATATCGTGTATGTGAGTGCCTGCCCACTTCTCAGTAGGACTCTGGAATATACACGGTTTTAAATACAAAGAGATGGCAAAGTATAGTCATAGTATAGGTTATGTAGAACATGTCTCTGTCTTCAGTAGAAGGGAAAACATGTCTGAATGGAATTTTAAAAACAATTTTCAATCTCAGTGTTTAGATTAATGATAGGGAGTTCTGGTAGCATAGTGGTGTTATGAGTCGGGATACTAACTTCAAGGTTGGCAGCTCAGAACTACCAGCCGTTCCTCAGGAGCACAATGAGGCTTTCTGCTCCTGTAAAGATTTATAGCCTCAGAAACCCTGTGCAGGGTCACTGTGAGTTGGAACCGACTCCACAGTCCACCACCACCACCACCAATGCTACCTGAAACGTTCCCAACACAAAAGTTAGTGAAAACTCTCCTCCTGAAGCAAAACTTAAAAGTATGGAGATACTACAGGAGCCCGAAAGGGCTCCATTTACTTAAACTCTTCATTCTTATACTACACGGGACTCTGGTGGTTTCGTAGTTAAAGGCATAGGAACACTTGTATTATATAGATGAGGTGCTGTCTTCAGACTGGGTGAGGACAACCTTGATCATTTTGATTGTACTCTAATTGTGTCATGGTCTGGTCATTGTTGTTGTTGTTAACTGCCTTTGAATAGTTTCCGACTCATCAGACCCTAAGATGCTTCTGAGGAGCAGCTGGTAGGTTTCAGCTGCTGACCTTGTGGTTTGCAAGGTCAGCTGCTTATCCTACAGCACACTGACCCCCCAAAATTAAAATAGAGTAAAAACGTTAAAGATGTAATGTTTCAAGTTAACATTCATAAGTTTATATTTCAAAAACATTTTAATAGTAAAACAGTTAAGCTATTCTGCATTATCTAGAATTGAGTGTAATAAAATAGTTCATGTCATATTCTAGTTAAAAGCACAAATTGTATGCCTAGCATTTATTTTTGTGGTTTACAAACAGAAAAAATGAAAACTAACACTCTCAAGTTTTGAATCATGTGTTCTCATCTAAAATGAAACATTTTTACTTTGGAATCCAGTGCTGTTTAACATATATGATACAGTAAAATTACAAGAAGCAAAATATGATTTTAATGACTTTATTATTCTTATTTTTTTCATTATACAGTACACGTTTTGGAACTTCATACCCAAAAACTTATTTGAGCAATTCAGAAGAATAGCCAACTTTTATTTTCTTATCATTTTTCTGGTACAGGTAAGTCTAATCATCTTTTTTGTCTCATGAAAAAATGTTTTATTCTTAGGTAATTGACATACAGTTTGCTCATCAAGAAAAGAACAAGAGCTCTATGTCTACATTTATTTTTTGTATAATTCCTTGTTTGTTTTTGAAGCGTTTTACTGTGAATTTAATGAAGGCTTACAGAGCAGATAATAAGTTTTACATTCAACAAATTGTGTACTTTGTTTCATCTCAATGATTGCAACCCCCTCCCTGCATAATAGTTATTCCACTTTTTCTGTGGTGTTTGTTTCCATCCCACCCTCCTTCCCACCCCTTCTGAACTTTGTCCTTAAGTAAATGTTGTCCTTCTGACCTTGAATAGTTGACCTTCCCATGGTGAGCCTACCTCACTAGTGTTGTTGTTCCTCCTCTACGATGATCGATCTACCACTTGGTTAAAACTGGGCCACAAGAGTGACTTCCATTCTATACCTGAAGGGTGGCCGAGGGCCACAATATCTGGTTAATTCAATTTTTTAAAAAAGAAAAAACTTGTTGACATTGTGGGGCCTGTATGAACTTAATGGTTTGGGCTACCTTTCTATCATCATCATTATTTACAAATATCCTTGTATTACTGGGAAAGAAATTTAAAATTTTACAATTTTGTAGAATGAAGTCAGCATCTAAACTGAGCATGATTGCAGATTGCGTTTGTTTTCTTCTTATGTGTCAGTGTCTCTTACTATGAAAGTGCAGAGATGTCATACATTAGAAAACAAACAAAAGAAAGTAAAAAACATAGCAGGGTGAGAGTAACTAGGTCACACATATCTTGAGAACAGCAATCTAATTTTTCTTCATCTTATAAAATAAAGTAAAAATAATTTCTGTGTCCCATAAACGTAAGTGTTGTACCAGAAGCAGAGCAGTTTGTTTTTAGAAGGTACTGCACACTGGACTTAGGCTCTGCGTTCTGAGCAGTTCACGTTTTTCCAGTTTGTTTTTAGAAGGTACTGCACACTGGACTTAGGCTCTGCGTTCTGAGCAGTTCACGTTTTTCTGTTGGTGGCATTAAGTGAGGTCACTTGTTAGTTCTGACTTGTACAACCATCTGCACAAGAGACGAAAACACTGCCTGGCTCTGTCCCATCTTCACAGTTGTTTCTGCCACTGTGTCAGTCCATCTCATTGAGAGTCTTCCTCTTTTTCTCTGGCCCAAGCGTGGTGTCCTTTCCTATTGGACTGGTCTCTTCTGATAACATGTCTAAAGAAGAGATGACAAAACCTCTCCATCTTTGATTCTAAGGTGCATCCTGCATGTACTTCTTCCCAAACAGGTTTGTTCCATTTTTCTAGCAGTCCGTGGTGTCTTCAGTTTCACCACCAACACTGGAATTCAAACTCACTGGCCAGTTTTCATGTGCCTTATCAGGTGATGGAAAATACCATGACTTCAGCCAGGCACACTTTAGTTCTCAAAGTGATATCTTTGCTTTTTGATACTTTAAAGAGGTTTTGTGCAGCAGATATGCCCATTGCAATGTGTCATTTGATTTCTTGACTGTTGCTTCCGTGGTTATTGATTGTGGATCCAAGTAAAATGAAATCCTTGACAACTTCAGTATGCTCTGCATTTATCAGCATGTTGATCAGTTACTTGAAGCTTTGATTTTTTTTTTTTAGTTTTTAATTGTGAGTTGACTGATAATTTACATGGGAGAACATTGGTTTTATATTCATTGTTGCTTTGCAATGATTATAATCTCCTCCATGCATCATCATTCAACAGTATTTGCTTCTATTCTCTCTCTCTTGTTTGTTTGTTTTTTTTGTTTTGTTTTGTTTTGTTTTTGATGGGGGGCAGGTAGATATACACAAAAACATTCAGGAATATATAATCATTTGAGCAACCAAAGGGCCTATTCTGCAGGCCTGTTTCCTGGCTGCCAGCACCCAAGAAGGTTGTAGTCTTTGATCTTCATCAGTAAGTACATCAAGTCCTCTTCAGTTGCAGCTAGCCGGGCTGTGTTTACCTGCTGACTGCAGTTGTTAGGGAGCCTACTCCAACCCTTCTTTTTCATCTAGTCCAGCTACCCAGATTATTTGCTCAGTTTGGAAATTGAATAAATATGGTGAAAGGATACAACCTTGGTGCACATCCTTCCGGATTTTAAACCACGTGATATCCCCTTGTTATGTTGGAATGAACTGCCTGCCTGTTGGTATGTGTACAGGTTCCAAGTGAGCACAGTTAGCTGTTCTGGAATGTTATATATAATTTGTTATGATCCACATAATTAGTTACCTTTTCATAGTCAATAAAATAGTTATTAAAGTATTTTAAAGTTAATAAAAGCAAATGCTAGATGGTGGTATTGCATGGAAGCTGTCTAATCCCTAGCATTGCAATTTTTAATGATTCTGTAATTCTCTTTAATTGCAGCTAATTATTGATACACCCACGAGCCCAGTAACAAGCGGACTCCCACTGTTCTTTGTCATTACCGTCACGGCTATAAAACAGGTAAGAAACAGCAACATCAAAAGGAAGCAAGTCACAGTCTTTGCTATGCGATGTTTTCTTTTAATCCAAGCGAGGTACACTGGTTTCTTTTAGTTAGTTAAGGAAACTGTCACTGCTGTTGTTGTTCAGTGCCATTGAATGGATTCGGACTCGTAACCACCCCAAAAAGAAACTCCACTGTATGCCGCTCTGCTGCGTCTTGTTTTCACTCATGAGAACAGCAGACCGAGCAGTTTATTCAACGTCTGTAAATGTTGATGTACTTTTACACCTAGTAAACCCTTAAACTGAAATGCAGCTTCATCGGTATAGAAAACGTTTGTATACTGTATCTCCTAGTTTCGGTTATTTTAAAATACGATACCAGGTTTATAGACCAAAAGTTTATTGTTTTCTCATCTGGGAACTTTCAGAGGACCTTGTAAAGGGAGTGGAGATCATTTGAATTCTCGTTAACTATTTGTATTTAATACAAAAGGATTTCACAGAGTTACCCTTTTCCCAGTGCTTTAGCAAATATCTGAGTTCAGAACAGCAGGGATTGATCATTTTCAGTGCTTATTACAATGAATGGAGTCCTGGTATGGTGCTGTAGGATAAGCACTGGCTTAACCATCCACTCCTCAGAAACCAGAGACAGACTCGCTGTGAGTCAGAACTGACATGAAGACACTTAATAACCACAACATTACAGTTAATAGAATGAAGAAAAAACTAAGGCTGGCGATAGTTTCAGAGTCCGTTGAGGCAGTTTACTAAGTTTTCTGTGAGTCTAGAATGACAGAGACAACCAAAAGATGTAGTTAAAGGGCAGATAGACTATCTTGTGCTTTTCCAAGTTAAAATGGTTTCGTTTTGATAGTGTTAATGTAATTTGTGGTAAGTTCCTTTTCTTTCTTCTTTTTTTTTAAACTTTTGTGGTGAATTGAATGAAGGTTTACAGAGAAGGGCATCAGTTTTACATACAACAAACCACACACTCAGTTTTATCTCATTGGTTGCAGTCCTCTCCCTGTAACAACAGTGATCCCATAATCCTCCCTGTGTTTCCTGTTTCCATGCCACCCTCCTCATCTTTGCCCTCAGGTATATGTTGGGCTAGTGACCTCTTAAGGTCACTAGTGCTGTTGTCCATGCTGTGTGCCTGTCTAGTGCTTGGCTGAAAATGGAGCCATGAGGGTGGTTCCCTTCCAGACAGTAGCCGAGACCCGTGGCCTTGGCTTCCCCCGTGGCTTTCTGACCCCTGAGCCCAGTCTTCTGGTGCTAAGTTTGTTGGAGGCTTTTCAGCATTCCATATGAAAAACCTAAGTGTTGGTCATCTTTTTATCCAAACAGTTCCCTTTTTAGGGATTTATTGTAAGGACATAATCATGAAAACGTAGGGCATGCAATGAAAATATAGTTATAAAGGTGTTTGTCAAAGTTTGTTTCTAACTTAAAAATTTAAAGTGACTACCCCCTTCCAAAAACAGAAAAGAGCCAAGGGCCTAGAATGCCTGAGTCCAGAACACAATCCAGTCCAGGAATTAGAAAACTATTTTACTTTCTATGTCCTGAACTTGTTTATTTATTCTGCAGATATTGAACGTCTCCTCTACACTGAGCCTTTTTCTAGGCACTAGGAGTAAAAATGGTTCTGAAAGCAGACAGGATTCCTCCTGCGTATATTCTAGTGAGAGAGGCAGACACTGAATACCAGATCGATATCTAATGCAGTGTCAGGTAGAGATACTTACTATTATTGTTGTCATCAAGTACCATCTAGGCAATTTGACCTGTATCATATATCTGAGGGGAGTGGCTGGTGGGTTTGAACCGCTGACCTTGCAGTTAGCAGTCCAAGGTTTATCCTCCAGCGCCACATGAGGACCCCACACGTACTGTGGAGAACAATGTAGAAGTTTTCCGAAGAGGGTGTTCTGGGCGGGCATATGAAGGAGTTCTGCAGGATCCTGATGGCTTCTCTGAGAAATAACATCTGATCCAAGACATGAACGGAAAGGGGGGGTGAGCCTTTGAGAGGGGAGAGTGGAAAAGACAAGAACTTCCATAGAAGAGGAAGAGTAATGCAGAATCCCAGAGGCATAAACCAACTGGGAGTGTGAGAGCAGGGCTTCCACTTGAAAGCCCATCCAGTGAGCATCTTGTTGTTGTTGCTAAGTGCGATCAGGTTGGTTCTGACCCTTAGTGATCCTGTATAAGGTTTGCAAGGAGCAGCTGGAGAGCTTCAACTGCCAACATTGTGCTTCAAACCGTCCTTGCAGGCCAGTGCATTAACCCACAGCGTCACACCAGGAGTATCTAGCTGGGTGATATATTGACTTTCTTAGCCTTCAGCCCAGCTAAGGAGGTTCTAGGACCCCACCCAAGACCCCAGGCCTGTGGTCCCTGACACTTAGCAGTCGTGTATAGTAACCACAGTTACTACAGAAGTACCGTTGTATTCTGTTACATGGAAGTTTGTGTGTTTGTTTTTAGGGTTATGAAGACTGGCTTCGTCATAAAGCAGACAATGCAATGAACCAGTGTCCTGTTCATTTCATTCAGCATGGCAAGCTTGTTCGAAAACAAAGCCGAAAACTAAGAGTAAGTAACAACTGGTAACATACAGCTTTTTAAAGAAAAATCAGTTTTGTGTCTTTGACTTAACAGGACGACTGAATTTAAAATTGTTATAAGATTATACCAGCCAGTGAAGACGAGGGAAGCCCTAAAACAATTTTAGAAAACTTATTTTAGAATAAGACTGCTAGTTATTGCTAGATACTGTTGATTCCTAGTGATCCTTAGCACAGCAGAACCGACAATGGCTGTCCTACACCGTCCCTATCATTGTTGTTTGAGCCCATTGTGGCTGCCACTGTGTCAGTCCAGCTCCTTGGGGGTGGGGGGGTCTTCCTCTTTGTCTCTGACCCTCCACTGTTTAAACATGTTGTCCTTCTACAGGGACTGGTCCCTCTTGATAACATGTTCAAAGTATGAGAGATGAGGTCTACCATCCTCATGTGTAAGGGGCTTTCTGGTTGTACTTTTTCCAAGATAGATATATTTGTTTTTATGTCAGTCCATGGTACTGTCAGTATTTTTGCCAACACCATAATTCAAATCCCTCGATTCTTCTACAGTCTTCCTTATTCATTGTCCAACTTCCACACGTATGTCAGGTAATTTAGAATGTCATAGCTTGGATAAGGTACACCTTAGTCCTCAGAATGTTATCTCTGCTCTTGAACACCTTAGAGAGGTCTTGTGCAGCAGATTTGCCTAATGCAATACGGTGTGTAATTTTTGGCTGCTGCTTCCGTGAGCACTGATTGTGGAACCAAGAAAAATGAAGTCTTTAATCTTTTCTCCATTTATATGGATGTTATTTATTGGTCCAGTAGTGAGGATTTTTGTTTTCTTTACATTGAGGTGCAATCCATACTGAAGGTTTGTACTCTGATCTACGTCAGTAAATATTTCAAGTCCTCTTTGCTTCCAGCAGACAAGGTTGTGTCATGTGTATCTCTCAGATTGCTAATGAGTCTTCTTCCAATCCTGATGCCATATTCTTCATCATATAATCCAGTTTCGCAGATTATTTGCTCAGCATACAGATCGAGTAAGTATGGTGAAAGGATACAATCCTGGCACACACCTTTCCTGATTTTGAACCATTCATATCCTCATGCTCTATTCAGACTACTGCCTCTTGACCTGTGTACAGGTTCATCATGATGAACACAATTAAGTGTTCAAATAACACGTTCTTCCCAATGTTACCCATAGTTATAATCCATAGTTGAACACCTTTGCATCGTCAGTAAAGCACAAGTAAACATCTTTCTGGTATTCTATGCTTTCAGCCACGATCCATCTCATGTCAGCAGGGATATCCCTATTTCCACATCCTCTTCTGAATTCAGCTTGAATTTCTGGCAGCTCCCTGTCAGTGTACTGCTGTAATTATTTGTTAATTATCTGCAGCATAAGTTTGCTTACATGTAATATTAATGATACCATTCAAAGGTAACTTGGGTCACCTTTCTTGGGAATGGGCACAAATATGGCTCTCTTTCAGTCAGTTGGCCATGTGGCTGTCTTTCAGATTTCCTGCCTCAGTTTGTTGAAATCGTTCAGTTTGTATTCTGTCCATTCCTGGAGCCATGTTTTCCACCAATACCTTCAATGAGCTGTTTCTTTCAGTACCATCGCCAGTTCTTAATCATAGCCACTTCTAGAAAGGATTGAACACGGGCCCGTTGGTTTTGGTACAGTAATTGTGTATTCATTCCATCATCTATGATGCTTTCTGTGTTGTATTTGTTATTGGTGTTGCTAGTAAGTACCATCTCGTCTGTTTCAAAACACTATGATCCTACATACGGTTTTCTGAGAAGCATGTTGGAACTGCCGACCTTGTGGTTAGCAGTCCAATGTTTATTTTACAGCACCACACCAGGACTCAATTTTGCCATTAAAATCCTTTATATTGCAAGTTCAGGCTTGAATATTTTCTTCAGATCTTTGAGCTTGAGGTTATATTTTATTACAATACTTGACTTTGTCTTCTCGAGCTATCCTGGGAAATTTTCTAGTCAGCTTTTTCACTTCATTATTTTTT